CCCTTCGTGGCCTACTTCGTGTCCTTCGTGGCTCTGCTGTCGTTCTCTCTCGCTCTCGCTTTCGCTCGTCGTCGTCGTCGTCGCCGTCGCCGTCGTTGCCGTCGTCGTCGACGTCGTCGTCGTCGTCGTCGTCGTCGTCGTCGTCGTCGTGGTCGGTCCCCTGTCCGTCCCTCTTGGGGTCGGGTCGACGGTCCGCGGCCGCCCCGCCGATCAGCGCTGCCGCTGGCCAGGCCGACGGTCCGCGGCCGCCCTGCCGCTTGCCGGGGCCCGGCCTGCAGGGAAGAAAGGTATACCCCCCAAAAGGGTTTCGATCGAAGACGAAAAGGGCGGGTATCGAGGGTTTGGGAAATTTGCGTTATTCGACACTCGAGCAGACAAGGGCGAACAGTCTTAAAATGATTGTTGTTGTTGTTGTTGGTGGTGGTGGTGGTGGCGTTGTTGTTGTTGTTGTTTATTGTTGTTGTGGTTGTCGTTGTCGTTGTCGTTGTTGTTGTTGTTGTTGTTGTTGTTGTTGTTGTTGTTGTTGTTGTTGTTGTTGTTGTTGTTGTTGTTGTTGTTGTTGTTGTTGTTGTTGTTGTTGTTGTTGTTGTTGTTGTTGTTGTTGTTGTTGTTGTTGTTGATGATGATGATGGTGATGGTGATGGTGATGGTGATGATGATGATGATGATGAGGATGAGGATGCGGATGATGAGGATGATGATGATGCTGGTGATGCTGATGCTGGTGCTGATGCGGTGATGATGATGATGATGATGATGATGATGATGATGATGATGATGATGATGATGATGATGATGATGATGATGATGATGATGATGATACTTCTGCTGCTGCTGCTGCTGATCAGGCCGAAGTCAGGGCTGCTCGACAGCCCGCATCTCGCACGTCGGGTCGGAGGAGCTGGAGCAGGAGCAGGATGATGGGGCAGGCGTGTGCCCGCTGGCGATGGCCGTCCCGACGCCGTGCCGGAACCCTGGCCGCCAGGGACTCCACCGGGCGTCGGTCTCGTGTGGCAGGACGGGCGCCCTTCCCTTTTTGGCCTTTCGGCGGAGGACGAGGACGAGCACGAGGAGGAGGAGGAGGAGGAGGAGGAGGAGGAGGAGGAGGAGGAGGAGGAGGAGGAGGAGGAGGAGGAGGATCCCTGACCAAGCTGCCAGGTCTGCGAGCGGGCCGCATTATGGCAGTCCCTGGATGTGGAGCGGGATTGCCAAGGGGGAACACCCCTCTCCCGTGAAACCCCAACTCGCAGCCTGTTCCTGTTGCTTGCTAACGAGGGTGACCCCTGGTTAGCAACCAACACAATGGCAGAGCAGGGGTGGCGCCCTTCACCAGGCAGTGCCTACTGAGGGCGGGAAGGGACAAGGCGGCAATGTGACAACCACAAACCCTGCTCCTTAAGGCCGAGGGTCTGGTTGTCGCTTGTCGGAAATGGGGCGCTGGGGCAGGAGGTGGGGGAAGCGGAGGAGGCCATGCGCCTGCGGCGGCAGCCCCTGCCTTGGGCCTGCCGCCGCTTGGCGGATAGCCAACGTGTGACAGTGCCACAAAAATAGGATTCCCACGACTCTACAGAAATCCCACGCTTCCGAGGGCTTGGCCGCAACCCTCCTCGCCCCCCGCCACCTCTCTTGGACGGGCGGGTGCGTGGTCAATTTGTGAACATTTGCCCCCCGGGGGGCAACTTGTTCAGAAGTTGTCCTGGGCGTCCCGCCTGGCCGAAAGGCGGCTCCAGCCGACATCTTAGGCGGCCCCTCTGCCCCATGGCACTCCTGAGCCCAGAGGCGCCCTGGCGCCCTGGCGACTGGACGCGTGTCCCCCCGTTCCTCCCTTCGATGGGGTGAGCCTTTTTCTGTACTGCAGGTGCGACCCCCCTTCTGTCAGAGGCCAGCAACATATGTACACGTACGCGGTTAGCTTCCCCTGGAGTGCGTGTCAACGCGGACGTTCGTGCAGGCAAGACCGTGGAGGGCGTACATGTACATATGTCGTTGCTCGCCCATTCTGGTGGGACGGCGCACATTCAAAGTTCATTCAGAGGAGGAAAGGCGAGGCAGGAGAGAATACCACCCATCTGCTCAGTGGATCTCGGCCCTAGCTCGACAGGCGCCTGGTAGCCGAGACCGCCCCATACCCGCTGATAGCCCGGCCCTGGCCTAACAGATGAGAGGCTGCGGATGCCATGACACGTGCGCCAACTGGTGGCAGGGCAGAAACGGTCTGGCCGACTGGCGACCTACACCTCAGTGCTTTTCCCCATTGCTCGGGGCCCACGTTGGGAGCACTGAGTGCCCGTGGAGAAGGGGACGGAATAGGGAGGGATTCGGGCCTGCTGGGGGTTGGGCGGAGAGGCGGCCGAACGAGAAGGGGGAGTGAAAGGGAGTAGGGCAGTCAGGGGCGGGACGACGAGGAAGAGACCCCATACCGCACTATCCGTGCATGGCGTAAGGAGCAGTTGCTAAAGTTTTGCAGACTAACCTACTGACCTGTGTCGCGCTCCCCCCCTTGATGGGGTGAGCATTTTTCTGCGCTGTAGGTACGACCCCCCTCTGGTGGGACGGCACATAATTAAATCAGTGAGAGGAAGAAAAGCGAAGCAGGAGAGGAAACCACCCATCTACTCGGGAGGAGAAGGGGGAGGGGGAGGAGGAGGAGGAGGAGGAGGAGGAGGAGGAGGAGGAGGAGGAGGAGGAGGAGGAGGAGGAGGAGGAGGAGGAGCAGGAGGAGGAGGAAGGAGGAGGAGGAGGAGGAGGAGGAGGAGGAGGAGGAGGAGGAGGAGGAAGAGGAGGAGGAGGAGGACGGCGACTGGCACGACGAGGGCCCCCCTCCTCCGCTGGCGGCAGGGCGCCGTGCAGCCCCGCGCCGCTGGCGGCGGTGGCGACGCACTGCGCCACGCTCCGCGCAAGGGGTGGCTCGCCCAGCCCGCCGCGGCGCGGCCCGCCGCCCGGCGCCCGCCACGCCACGCCGCGGCCTATCGCCGCCGCGCGGGGGCCCGCCACGCCGCAGCGCCCGGCGCCCGCCACGCCGCGGGCGGGCAGCGCCGCTGGGAGGGGCGCCAGCGGCGCCAGCACCTGCACCCCGAGGGTCCCCGAGGGGAGGGTGGGAGGGCGACCTCCCCTTCCTCCGCGAGGGAGGGGGGGCGGGAGGGATGGATGGAGGAGGAAGGGCGAGGACGAGAAGGAGGAGGGGGAGGGGGAGGACGAAAAGCAGGAGGTGGGGCATGGAGAGGAAGGATCATTCCGAAGAGGGCAATGAGAGGTATGAAGGAAGAGAAGGAGGAGGTTGAGGAGGAGGATAAGGAGGAGGAGGCGGCGGAGGGCGAGGAGGAGGAGGATACGGAGGAGGAGGATACGGAGGAGGAGGAGGAGGGGAGGAGGAGGAGGAGGAGGAGGAGGAGGAGGAGGAGGAGGATATGGTGGTGGAGGAAGAGGACGCCGACGGGTCGCCGAGAGGTCACGTGGTCACCTCGGATGTTGCCGCGGGAGGCGTTGCTGTGGCGCCAGCAGGATGCCGAGAGGCGATCCGTTCCGCACCCCGCATTCCTCGTCGTCCTGATCCCTTTCCTCCTTCGACTCTCTCCTCCTCATCCCTCTTCCTTGTCCTCCTCCTCCTCCTCCTCCTCCTTCTCTACCTTATCCCTCCTCCCTCCTTCTCCTTCTCGTGGTGCTGCTCCTCTTCCCTCCTCCTTCTATCCCCTTTTCCCTCCTTTCCTCAATTCCTATGCTTGTTCCTCCTTCTCCTTCTTCTGTTAGATGACTTACTGGTCCGAGTCTCTCCTTTGAGTTCGGCAGCTCTGATTTTTCACTCTTGCAGGAGGAACCTGGGGACGTGAGTGGATGGTTGCCTTTCTCGCTGTCATCTTCCTCGGACCGACTCTGATGACATCCGCGCAGTCCTCGATCCCGCACCAGGCCATCCATCCGCGAGTCGCTCAATATGACCCTCAAGCTCTACCCCTCCATCGTGGGCTTCGTGAGGTTTTGGTTGGACGGTTTTGATTCCTGCAAGATTATTAGCCTCGCTGGAACAGGGCAGGCAATGGCTCGGGCTTCGTGTTGTGGATTTCTGGAGGTTCTGTCGCCAAGAGTCGCAAACTATGTGGTCTGGCAGTGGCCCACGTCGGACACGAGAAAGTTTCGTAAGCAGGATCGGATCAACATTTAGGAGGGTACATCTACGAACGCGGGATGTATGCTGGCCCTGGATGCAAAGATGTTTCGGGAAGCTCGTTTTCGACAAGTGTGGTGTCCATTTGATCAGCTTCTTGGTCGAGGGGGGCAGTTCGATATCGACGGAGGGGTCTCTGTGATCTTTGTTGCATCGCGGCACATGGTTCCTGTTGGCAAAGTCGGACACGGATCGAAAACATGTCAGATTTTCATCGAATTGGCGTGAAAGGTAGTTTCCCGACTCCCCGCGACATCTACCCCTATGCTGATGATGGGTGGCAGCTTTAACAGTGGACCTCATAATATAGGAGGACAGTGGATGCACATTAATGGTTCTAGTCAGTCAGATGCTAGTGCCCCCAACGGGTTTGCGAAGCAGGACCCGCACACATCACGCCTGCGCATGACTTTGGATACGCACCACCTTTGCCTGGCTGATACATCTCATCGTGAAGGGAGAAGGGCCACGTGCTTGCGAGGCCCGACGACTTCCAGGATTGATTGCGTTGCTATCCCCAAAACCATGTTGGCCTACATTCAGACGCTCCGTGTCTGGTAACGCACTGGGCGACCCCTTCAGCCATCCAGTGGCAAAAGGTACTGCAGACTACGCTCCCTGGGCGATGGACTGTCTAATGCGCTCTTGGCATGATTCTTATTCGCATGCGACGCCCGTGCGGGGCAAGGGCAACCTTCTGAAAGCATGGCTGGCAAGGAGGTCCCTTGCACAACGGCTTCTTCGCATGCGCTGACAGCGGCGCATTCAAGCTGGACAACTGGGCAATCAATGCTGACTGCATCGCAACCGTCGGTCCATGCAGCAGAATGGTAAGGTGGATGCTTCCTGGCAGTGTATCCAGAGTGGTTTCCGTGAGCAGGCGGAACGATATTGTTTGAAGCGCCCTGGGCAGACTCGAAGGGCCGGCGCCAGCGCGAGTCGAACGCGCGAAACGAACCAAGAAGCTACAGCTCGACTACATGCCACTGGTAGTGTGACCCAGGAGGTGAAGGAGAGATGCTCGCTTTTACAAAAGTATCGTAAGCGATTTCGACGATGAGATTCCCGACGCATGCGTGATGCGTGGTCTGCCGAGCTGGACATGGCGCAGAACAACAACGATTGGCATCAAGTATGGGCACTCTCTCGACTGATTGCTGGCACTATGCTTGGACCGAAGAAGAAAACTTATTAGCTGACGGTGACGCATCCACCTGCGATAGATGACTGAATCCAGTGCGTGGGCCAAGCCAGCCCTGAGGGAGGCGTGCAAGCGCTGCCCGTGCGCGCTGGAGGACGCGCTGATACCCCAGAACGTAAAGCTAGCGATGCAGATCCCGACCGGCGGCGCGGCGAGGGCGCAGTCCACTGTTCGACTTGCCCGGCAACCTCGAGGGCCCGCGCTTGCAGGAGATGACGGAGGTGTGTCAGAATTGGTGGGGGAGGCGTCAGAATTGATGGAATGTATTCCAGAATGTGTGGAAGTGTCTTCTGAACTGGTGGGTTGCATTTCAGAATTGGTGGTGGGGTCTTCTGAATCAGCGAGAGGTATTTCAGAGTTGGCGTGGGGGTCTCCTGGATTGGTGGGAGGTATTTCAGAAATGAAGGGGGGCCTCCTGCAGTGACTCGCGTCGGCAATGAGATGAACAACTCGGTTGGTCAGGAGATTGCGCCCTGCGATGCGCGCGTTGAAGACGCTGGCGATCGACCTTGTTTTGTTCGTGTTCAAGGGTTTGCTGCGGCTTTCTTAGTCGTCTTTGCAATAAAAGGGCAAGGTGATCAGGTCTACCGTGGTCGACTCCTAGACGGTGCGGCTGAAATCACTGGCGAAGCCTCGGCGCTGTGAGCGTCATGGTCCGTCCGTGTCGACATCGTTTCGAGCGGCTGCCTTCTTATTCGACATGGCCGCCGCATGCCGCAGAAATGGGCCGTCAGCTCAGGATGCGGAGTGTGGAAAGATAAATACAGAGGCATGCAAATCATAGCGCGTCGCCAATCTATTCGACCCTGTGGGCGAGGCTTTGCCGGGCAGCTCTGGTCTCGACGCGCGGCGCGCGGTTCTGGCAGCTCGACGGACTTCGAGCCCCAGCCCAGGCGGGGGCGGGCCACCTTGCCGATGGAGGTGGCCAGGTGGCATCTGGCGCGACGCATCTTGGCATGTGTCGCTCCTTTTGTCCATCAGGCCAACGCCTGCGCCTCAGTTGATCACGCAGCGTTAATCGATGTGGCGCGTGCCCCATTTCCTGTTGAAGCACTAGCGCAGACGTTCGCGGGCTGTTTCCTCAGAGCGGGCGCAGGTGACTGGGCGCCTGGGTTCCTTGGTCGTGGCGACTAGCAGGATGGCGTCTCCGCGCCAGAAAGTTCGTCGACGTGCTGGGCCCACGTGTTGATGAAAATGTATATCATCGACGGAGGTGGGTGAGTTTTTTCTTCTTCCGTGGGCCCATCATTCAGCAGATGGTGAAATCGGGGCGTGGTGCGTGGGCAGATGATCTGCGCCGATCGCGTTTTTGCGAGGGCGCGAATGCGGCGAGCTCTCGCGCCGAGGACTGGGATCGCTCGCTACAAGTTCGCGTCGGCGTTCCGACTGGACTCAAGCAAATCGCGGACGCAAAAGAGTTTTTCTCCAGGCACGCGGTCGGGGGTCTCACCATGCGACGCAACAGTTCGACAATCAAGTCTGATCTCGCGATCGAGGGGGTCCACGGATATGGCGGAGGCATCTGGGAGCTTGGCGTCGCTATGGGCGTGCCACATGGGGGCTCCAAGAGCGGCGGCGCAGCTTGCTTGGGGTGGGGCACCACGGGCAAGTTTTGGACAGGGGGGGGTCCCAGGGGTTCCAGGGGTTGGCGGTCAATGTGGTGCTGTCTGGAGGCGAGGCTTTGGGCCTTATCTGATCGAGCTGTTGATCACTCAAGTGGTTATCGCGCAGCGCGCGCGGGCGTTGCTGATGGGGGTGTATTACTAGACGGTCTCAAGGGGAAGGTAGTCACCTACTGTCGGACTCTATCTCAGCATGAACGCCGGAGGCGCCTAAACTTGCATGCGCAATGCAGTGCGCTGCGTTGTCGGAGGCTTCGGTGCTTGCCGTATGTCCAGATCTCCACGGGGCCACGCTGTTCTGGTCGGCGTGCTGACGGGGGAAGTGAATGGACGTGACCAACTTCATCGTCGAGGCAAACCTCGCCACCGGTGTAATGCATAGCTTATGCAGTTCGGAGTGGACTTAATGAGGGTGGACGCCTTAGACGACCCGCCCAGGACGTCCTTGGAGCTTGTGGATGGTTCGACCCATTCGAAGAGCCCAACAAGTTACCTCCCCCAAGGATCTGATGAACGTCGGAGAGTCCCCCGAGAATTCGGTTCTTGCCCTGAACAGAACCCACGTCGGAGATGTTCAAATGCGAGTTTGTGCTGAATGATGTTGCGCGCGCGCTCGTGTGCTGCCGTGGGGCGGCTTCGTGTGCGCGAGTATCGGGCCCGTGGTGTTTGCCATGATTGTCGTCGTGTTCCCATTGCCAATCAGGTCCTTAGGCGGTTGCGGATTTTCGCCAGTGTCGCGAACGGTTGACTCCATTGCTGGGCCAGGGGTGAGAAGATCATCCGCTATGTTGTGTTTTGGAGCCCAGTCCTCCGTCTGGCGTTCTTCCGGCCGCAATTGCGCGCCCTTATCGTGGCTTTCCCTCGCTGCACTTGACGCTGCGCGCGCCCGTGTCCGAGAACGCTTCGACATTTCTGCGGGCTGGGAGATGGGCCAGCTGCAGGCGGCCCTGGAGAAGGAGGGGGGTGATGTGATCAGGCGTCGGGCAATGGGCGAGCGGGGCGGCGACGACCAATCCGGGAAGCTAGCGGTGGCGATTGCCGAGACGGTGGGTGCGAATCTGCGACGGCTCCAGGGGTGCTTGGAGACGACGGCGCTCGCGTTGGAAGCCCATCCATATCTTCATGTGCCCCCGGAGACGGGGAAGGGGTGCGATGCAGATCGCATGCAGTACAGAGAGCAGAAGAACTACGAGGCGATGAACTCGATGACGCCCTCGCGCGAGGGGTGTTGGATCTCCTTGATCGCGCAGAGTACGAAGGTCGACAGTGCCGTGAAGGGGAATGAGTAGACTTTGTTGACGTACCGCCCGAGTATGACATCAGTGAGAGGCCAGGCACTTACATGTATGCAGCAAAGATGCCGCAGACAGAAGCAGTGGACCGAGGACTACTGGAGGATCTACTCGATGGTTGTGCCCGAGCTTCGTGGTGTGCAGATGGGGGCCATGGCCGCCACGGTGTCGAAACGAAGCGTGGGGGTGAAAACGGGCGCGCCGACCAGGAACCCAGATGTGAGGTCGGTGCTGA